TTTTTTCTGAGGTCCTTTTGATATCTAAGAAAACTATAAGGCGCACCCACATGGCCGAGGGGTGCTTAGCTTTCTTTCAACTTCTAAGCGACATAAAGCTATCAAACGATAATGAAGAGTTGTTTGAAGTGCAGATATGCCTTTTATACCAGCATTGACAAATTCATTGAAGAATTAAAAACCAATGATTACTTAAAATTCTTGATTCATGAAAAACCACATGTAAAAATATATCGAACCTTCGAAATTCAAAAAAAGAAAAATTCATATTTCAAAATTATAGACCTCATCTTCAGTCGGGGACAAGGGGCACAATGGGGCGCAACTTAACGACTAAGGGGAACTGGCGCTCTTGCTTTCGAAAAGGCTGCACGTAGAATATGCGACTGTGGCTTCTCATTTTTATGAATAACAATTTTGAGTTTAAAGCGATTTATTCTGAAAGTTTCAGTGTTTGGATAACAGCTTGATCACTCTGATCTTAAAATAATTAAATAACTATACATACGTGATGCTTTACTGGCCCGGGTTCTTTGAACTTGATTTTTTTTTAGTTCAGGCGCACCTCGGAAACGTGAACGTTTCTTATGTGTTTAGTACGACGTCAGAGTTTTCATAAAATATACTTATGAAGCGTACATAAAATTATTTTTTAAACATCTTCTAGTGAAAGCGGTATGCCTAACGTGCTAAAAGTTCAATTTTTAGCAGTACTACTACAAATGATACATTTACTGCTCTTAATGTAACATAGTATATAATTAAGTAATGTGTATCATTTAATTTAAATAGAGTGATAGTAAGAATGCCTAAAAAATAGTGTTTGATGCACGTGCTAAAAGCGAAATACATAACGTTTCATAAAGCACGTGTGTTGTACACGGTCAAATTTTTCGCAAAATTATTTGGCTCGTTTGCGTTGGGAACATTGTGTACTGCTGTTTCGGCTTATCTCTTACATTGCGATCATAATAAAGAGGTTGTTGACAAACTTTTGTTGACAAACAATTTGAAAACGCGCTTTCCTCGATCACTCAAAGTCAAAATCTTTCGTCATTTCGATTCTAATGTAGTCAAAATTATTTGGAGGACACTAACCTAACCTACGTTTGGACGGGGAGGTTTCTCTCGTGTTGTATTGCTCTCGACGACATTCACAAATGTTGATTCGTTGTTGCGTACAATTGTTTGATGAAAATATGACATGTTCTATTTTATAATTTTTTATACACATCCGAATTCTACTACGTGAAAGCTAATTTTATAAAATTTACGTTATATGAAACGTTAAAAAAATCCCGAAAATATGTCCGTTTTCAACACGCATTCGACAAGATAAAAGTAGCCCGACAAATACCTACCAGAAATTCCTCGGTCGTGTAAATAACCTGTCGAGGCCGGACTTCGTCCATTAAGACAAAGCGAGCTCGAAATGAGCGGCAAATAAGACATCCACTTCACGAACAACGGCGACCGGACGGGAGCAGGCTGTCCATTAGCATGAAGAATTTCCGTCAACTCGCCAGGGTGGGCTTTCCCGTCCTGGCACAATACCGCGCGGCGAATTAGTGAAACAGGGCACGCGTTTAGCCGAGTCGCGCAAAGGGCTTCGCAGATAGGGCGCGGGCGGAGGCGCGGGCGAGGCGGAGTGGGTGGGCGTCCCGCGGGGGCGGCCGGCACGCACGGCGACGAGAGCGCACGAGAGCAAAGCACACAGCGTCCGGCAAACATGTCCAGCGCGATCGGCGGGGCCGCGACAGTGCACTCGGAGCTGTGCGCCTTTGTGGGGGTGGCTGTGGCGATGGAATCATTTGCTAGCAGCTGCCAGATACATTTGAGATAATATCTTATTCGTAGATTACGCGGAGTTTACAGTACGATCAGACCATGGTGTGAAAACCATTCGACTACCATTGTATTTTTCTTATTAACTTAACTTGCCAGTCCTTAAGGCCTTAAAGCTTTTGTTTACGTATTGTTCAGAAGTAACGCTCAGGAAATGCTCACATTGCAGTACTGAATACTTACGTTTGCGATAAATGCTTGTATTTATCGCTTAGAACTACATTATTATTATTAATATTATTATTGTTATTAACTCAGATCATCCCGAAAGGGAAGTGTAGGCGATGGAATGTCTTAAGTTAAATAGGACCGAAGAGGAAAAATAAAGATTTGGGAAGAAATACGTTACGAAAATTACAGGCTCGTTTAATTACTTATAAGAAAGTCTAGTAGTAGTCTATTAGTTTATGTAGATGGGGATTGCGGACATACCGCGGTGCACCTACCGCTAATCTAAGACATCAGTTTTGCAGGACTTGAAGTTTTGATGACGACGTTCGTAATGCTCCTTTCCACACTGAGCAGGCGCATCTCATAATGAGTCTCATCAGAGTCTTCCTTAAAAGTATGTTGAAGAGGATTAAAACAGGGGAGCGATACAGTATAAGTGGTCGGACAATAGCAACTCTTTGTTTTGCTTTTTAACCAAAGATGATACGTGTGGGGTCAATGCAAGTCTAACGAAGGTTTCGTTGTACTCCGAGGCACTTGGCTGTTTTATTGGAGGAAAAGGTATCGTTTAGTGTGATTATTGAACGAAATTTGAGGGTTGGGAGGGTCATAGGGTAAAACATTTGGAAAAACTTTCATTAATGTTAACATTGAAGTTCCACATTTCAGTCCAAACTTCGATTTCCTGAAAGGGACATTGTATTCTGTTACCTAATCTATCACAAGTGTTATGTGAATTAAATAAGTCCACGCCATCTGCATAAAGAACTGTAGTGGGAGAAAAGGATGAAGGTAAACCATCTATGTAAATAGTGAAAAGGGAATACGTGAGGCCATTTGACTGTTCCAGACATTATTGGATACGAGAAAGATATACATTTGTCCACTCTTACAACTAATTTCCGGTTATCTACGAAATGTTTGATCAATCGTATTTGATTGGATAGATAACCAAATTGCTTTAGTTTAAATATAGACCCATAATGCTAAACGGAGTCGAACGCCTGAGTAGAGCCTACAAAAATCGCCAGTGAGTATTCACGTGGTTCAAAAGCAACATAAATTGCCTGTGGTACATGAAGTTGATACATTGGACCATGAGGTGATTTAAAACCAAATTGCGAAGGATTTGTGTGGGATGGGTTCTTGATATTTATTTAGACTAGCTACTTCTTGTATCGGAAGTTTTTTTTATTTCAAAGAGCATCAGGGCTTTATTTCTTATTGTGTTGGACTGACATCTCAGTACGACTGATATTTTGGTTACTCCTGGACCAGCAAGCGTCAAGCGTGTGTCATTCTAAATTTTTACATTGAAGGTCTCGTGGAACCCTTCTATAATCATGTATGAACTAATTTTAAAATTTGAATTGAATTTATTACTTCTGAGGATCATAAATAAAATATAGTTAACGACTATTTGTACGTATTTACGAACTATTATGGAGAAAAATTGTTATTGGGAGCCCCCTATTCAGAGCGAGTTTGGTCTGGTTGTGTTTGATTCTACATCTGGCAAAGTATGACTGATTGATATCGTATTCCCGATACTTGGATTTCCGCCGTTAGAAACCAGACAGCAAAAGCAAAGGCAAAATTGGCGCCACCGAAGAGAGCCGAGATGAAGTCGGCAGCCACGCGACGAGCCAGAAGCCTCATAAATCATCCAATCTGCGTTCGCGCCGGGCGACCGCGGGCGCTGCCGCGATCGCTGGGGAGGGCGTGGCGGGGGTGGTGGAATG